TTTTTTAGTGTTCACTAGAAAACCCCAAACATTTCAAGTCACTGTCTGTAACAGAAGCCTTTTTCTAAATCTCTGTTGAAAAGGGGGACAGAGAGTTTTGCTGGCAAATTTTGAAGCATATCAGCAATGTTTCACATTTGAAACGTCTTGCAGCAACTCTACCCTAAACAGCTAGGCTAAAAGTTGTAGGGGTCTTTTGTTGTTGCGTGGCTGGTTGTTTTTACTCATGAGGGCTAGAAACAACTACTGTTGAATGGTTTTGGTAATTGATGTAGAAATAATAACTGTACTGCAACTTCTGGGGTTTATTTATAGTCTCCAGAGTGATTTCACAGGGAGCCTCCTGAGACAAAGAAGGGGCAGACAGGACTTGAGTTCCATAGGGACTGTTCCTATACAGTCTCTCTGCTCCACATTGTTTAGGGACAATGAGTTTTAGTGCAATTGCTTTTAAATTCTTTAGTGGGGGAAGGGAAATAAATCAGTAAAATGGTGATGCTAAGGGAACTGCGAAAACAGATTGTGTGGTTAAGTGTTACTAAAGGGTTTATGAAAGAATTGGAGACATCTGTCTTTAGTGTTTTAAGAAAAATTGTGGTGAATTCACACAAGAAATTAATTTCTTATGAGCATGAGTGCTTCCAAAGAGGTATGCACTTAAGTTTCTGACGCAGCTTGGAGATGCAGTCTTGATTGCGTGAGGGTACGAGATGTTCATCTCAGTGTAAATATCAGAGTTTCAAAATAATTGTTTCCACAGCATTATACAGCAACAGAGAGGAACTGAGGTGGTCACAGTTGTCAAACTTGCCTCAGAAGATGTTAATATTGAATTTCTGTCTCTTCATTAATAGTCAACAAGGAAATTAGTTTTGGAACAACTGTGTTAATTTTTAGGTTCATTTGAAGTAGAGGAGGTTATTTTAAATGATGATTTTGGTAAATGTAGTAGGAAAGATTTATAAAGAGGCAGTTTCCTCTAGATTAGATTTCTAGTGCATAGTCAACGTGCCAGGGAATTAAGTAATCCCTCATCCTCTCATCTAGAAATGGCATAATGAAGGGGGAAAAACAAAACAAAACCACAAAAACAAACAAACCAAGCCTAGAAACTAACAAGAAGCTATTGCTCAAACTTTAGTTAATCCCTGTTATGTAGTTATTGGCTATGACTCTGCAAGTTTCTTCATGGAGGGAGGTTTTAACAGCTCAAGCTCCTTTTAAAATAGTTTCAGAGGAGATGGCAATGATGTTTGAGGATTCATTAATTATTGCTCTTACTGGTGTTTGCACAGGCAGCTAACATCATAAAATTTTGAGGGGAGAACATGAGTAATGAAGATGAGAAGAGTGACAGTAAGGAACAAATGTGAGTTTCCATCCAAGACATACAGAATTTCTGAGAACACCACTCTGATTGTTGTTTCCAGACAATCCTCCAGTTTCAGTCTTGCTCAGCTGAATTACTTTGTTCTCTCATTTCAAATGGGTGTTTGATGGAGTCACCTCAATCTCCATCATCAGATACAGATTAGAAGAATCTTTTTTTCTTAACTCTGAATTAAAATTGCAATGGGGGAGTGTCAGTGGCAGTTACTCTGATGAGCAATTTCTTTTTGAAATTTTGGGGATGTCTCGTCTCTATTCTTTTTTTTCATTTGTACATAAAAGTTTTATGATTTTTGACATCTGCAGGTAAAAGGAAAGCATTCTTCCTTTTTTTCTCTGGCTGACTATTTGTTGGTCTAGGTAAAATGCTAAAATGCAAGTTGAGTATGGAAAATTTTTCTTAAAAGCAAAGCAAGAAGTTCTTGTTGCACAAGCCATCCTTCTAAGGAAAGCCACTCTCAGTCACTGGCTGAAAGAATCCTCTTCTCTGTAGCTGTTTTTGATTGTTTAATAGATCACATTGAGAATTTACTCTTGAGTCTAGTTGCAGCACTTCGCTCTGTTCCTAGGGAGTTTTTTTCTGCAATCCAGGTAGTAAAGCTATGCATGACAATTTCCTTTTGCTATCACATTTCTGAAGTTTAATGCTGCAAGATTCCAGGTGCTGGAAGATTTATTTTGCATCCTGTATTGCTTGCATCAGTGTTGTGGAAGGTGGCGTGATCTGGAAGAAACGCATGCAGGACTGAATCTAAAAGTTCTGGTTTCTAATCTGTGCTTTCTCCTGGCTCTTTTCACTTGCCATCAGAAGATGTAAGCACGTGTACTGTGTTCTGTTTTGTAATGAGTATTAGTTTGTGCTTGCGTGTTCAAGGCGCTGTGCAGTGAGGGATCAGATGGCTGATACTGTCCCTGAGAGTCAGGCTGAGTTTACCTCAGTGTTAACACTGTTTGATTTATGGCAAAGATATGCATTTAAAGAAAAAAATGAGATACCTAAATTTTCACTTCTATCATATTAACCAAATGATGTTAATATTCAGTTAGTCATTACCAATTAACAGGAAATGTATAATTAAGTATTTTAATCATACGACTACCAGCCTGACTTGGAGTAGCTGTTTTTCTCATTAAGGCATGTGGTTTCATTAACTGATTAGACACTGGTTGACTCATGCACATAAATCCCTTATTCGGACTTCATTGTAAGCAGACCACTATGGTTTCTATTGCCTTACTTCGGAATGCCAGATTCACTTCTGAGAACTACCAGAATGGCTTATGTTTCCAGAAACAAAGATGTGTGGGCAGCAACTATTTCAAAATAGCAGCGTATCCATTTCTCTGAGTAATGAATAAACTACAAATCATGTAATTCCCCATTTTTAGGAACAGGGTGGGCTGGAAGAGATTTCTACTGAACCCTGAATCAGCCAGGTTACAGTACACAGGCTGCCTGTTGAAGGGTGCACCCCACTACATTCAAGGCTAGGCTGCTCTTTTAGGCACTCTGAAAACAAGCGTCTGTGTGATAGGACTGGTGCCTTGAAGTATGAGTCGAGATCTCTGCAGTCTGTTCAATGGATCTTTCTTGTGGATCATCTTCTGCAGAGATTTAATTTGGGACAGGACTGGTTGTTTCATAGCTGTCTTAATTCATTGTGCAGTACTTTATTTTCCTTGTCAAGGCTCCTGCACAGCCAGGCGTGCAGAGGTGGAGTATGTTACGTACTGAATGTTGGTTTAGACCTAATAGATGTATTTTGTAAGGTGTAAGTTGTAATCTATGACACTGATCAAAAAGAAGGCTTTATTGAGGTGGACATCAGATAAAATTATTGCAGCTTAATAAAAACTTATCACCTGTATACCGTGCAGAAGGCAGCTCAATTTTCTGTTAAACGTGAGATGCAGGGACCTTGTACTCACTGAAAAGCCAGGTGCATTGACAGAATATCTTAAGGGCAGTATGATAGAAATAAAGTAGACTCAAGTGAACTAAGTTGTATATTCATAGTGGCTGTAATATTGGAGTCCAACAACTGGGAAAACACTGTGAGACAAGGTCTGAAACACAGGTCAGAAAAGCGGGTTAGTATAATAATGCGTGTAAGCAACCAGGGAGAGTTAACAGAGCATACCCCAGAGGGAGAGGCTACCAGGTATTCCTAGTGTGACTTCATTAGATGTTTGGCAAGGACAAGCATGATGTTGATAAGCAGTGGATCAGGTAAGATCACTGAAATACAAGGATATGGATAATGTTTTAGCTGTGGCAGTTATATTTTCCTGGCTAATCCAGGACAGCTAACACAAAGTAGATATATTTTCCATAAGCACAGGACACCATGCAATGGAAACCTAAAATAAAGGTAAAAACATGTTCAGTAGGCTGCCATCCTGCCAAAAAGATAATCTTGTTATTTGTTGGATTAATGTCCTTTCAAAATACATTTTACTGAACTAATGCTTTTTTTTTTCCTTGATCACCATCTTGCACTAGAACGCTGACTGACTGCAATAATGGCTTCAAGCAGTTAGTCTCCTTGCAACACTACTACAAAAAAAATTAATTTTTAGTACAGTTTGGAATAAGTTTATTTGCAGCTTCTATTAAAAAGAGATACAGAACTGATTCTGCTACGCACAGATTCAGGAAGGAAAAATGTCTTTTCTGGCCTGACCTGACTCAGATTGCAGCGCGCGAGCTCTGCTGAAATCTGTCATGCCATGAAAATAAGGCTTGGGCATCCCATGTTCCCGTCAGTAATGGATATTTCATGTGCTGCTCTAGAGCCCTGGTCAACATACTCTCCATTGTAAAACAAGAAAAAAAGCCAGAGCTCTACACTACCTGAAGTAACACTTTCCTGAACTTTAATTTCTTAAGGTTTTCCACCTTATTTTCTTATAAGGTGAAGTTTATAGTTATTAATGCAAATAGTATTCTGACTAATTCTTTAAAAATGAGTGAGCACTTTAAATTTATAGCATGCATGTACAGGTTGGACTTTCTTTGTTTGGGTTTGTATTGTTGGTGTGTACTAATTTACATTTAAATTGTTATCCATGTGGAAAGAGAAGGAAGCACGGTATGGTGCTTTCATGTACCGCCTTCAGACAAAGGAGATAGAGTTTGCATGCTGTGCCTTAAAAAAATCTCCCTCCTGCCCAGGGAGGAAATAGGTCGAACTTGTGTTCAGTTGTGTTTCATCAGCAGCCTACTTAAGTTAGCTTGTGCAGGGTGAACGAGGGAGGCGCACGGGAGAAGTGAAATGAGATGACAGATGAAGCCTGCAGTTGTTTAAGATGGTGTGTGCTCTACATGGATCTGGCTATGACCTAGCCATGGCGGGAAGGAAGCTAATCAGCTTGTTTTCTATTCAGTATTGCCAGCAGGAGGGGTTCTTATAGGGAACAAAGATAATCTGTCCTTTACTTGATGCTCATTTTGATTGTTAAGAAAGTGTGTACATGCAATAGAATGGGAAGTATCACGCTGCTTGGTAGCAGCCCCGGCTGAAAGCAATATACCTTCAATCTGCCCGAAGGGATGCCTCAGCAAGGAAGTTCTAATATTTTTCCCAAAATATTTATTGTGAATACAACAGATTCACAGTCGGAGAGTGAGGCTTCTCCTGTGAAACGGCCACGGCTACTGGATGACAGTAATGACAGACCTGAAGAAACCAGTCGATCCAAACAGAAGAGTAGACGCCGATGCTTCCAGTGCCAAACAAAACTGGAGCTAGTACAGCAGGAACTGGGATCGTGTCGCTGTGGTGAGTACTGTTTGTCAGTAGCGTCCAGCTTTCTAACGCAGCCGTGCTCCAGTCTGTATCAGAGAACACTTGCATTTTGTATCTTTCAAAGATACTTTAAACAGAAGCTATAGCTTCCACTGGTAGTAAAAAGTTATAATTAGTTCCTGTCTAATTTCCCATTTAAAACTTCAGCCTTGACGAACTGCCTTGTCTCAAGAGATCTTGGATGTTAATGAATTTAGCTCCAGAAGTCCCTGTAAAGCAGGAGAGCATCATACCCACTTGACAGGAGAAGAAACACAAAGCACATCAGTAAATATGCAAAGATGACAAGGTTTTTACAGAACTTAAAGGACCATAGGTCAGGATCTACATTCTGCACTTTATAATTACATTATTATTAAAAAGTTAAAACCAAAAAACCTCTAACTTAAAATGTTTTCATTCTCACAGTTAGCTGTTGAGGGGAAAAGACATATTCACTATACACTCAAAATCCTCCAACCTAGCGCTTCCAAAGTTGATGGCACTGTTCAGCTAATTCGATTGAGGATGATAATCTCATGCAGACAGCCAAATTGAGGTTTCACATTACATGCAAATAATATTTCTGAAATAATAATTAATGTGACTAGATTCCTGAGGAGATGCACTCTCCTTCATGGAACAATTGTGTTCATAACTGGTTTAAATGTGCTCATCAGACCCTGTGATAATGCACATGGTAGTTTTACCTGCTAATTATTTTTTCATCTAATCATGTATTGAAAGCTTATACTTGGCGCTCTCTGACAGTGCTTGTATTGAAACATTTGGTAAGTTTGTTTAGTTACTTCATTGTGTCTTAGCAGGGGGATAATTTCCAAAGGATTTGCACAGGTGACAGGTGCAATTCACATTGTACCTGTGAAGTGTAGAACATTGTATTAACATGTTTTCTGGATAGAAGGTATGTCCTCCTAAGCAGCAGGGGGGGAGAGAAAGGACTGGCTAAGCTAGTTACATAGACCCAGTTAATGAGTTCTATATTGAGTACCTAATACCAAGTGGAGAAGCGATAGAAAGCTGCAAAGATTCCATGTTATCCTTTGTTCTTTTCTTCAGCATCTGTCTGTCTTGAGCCTTTAGAGATTTCTGTTGTGTTGTGCTCTTTTTGGACACAAGACAGGTTTTGTTTCAGATACTGGAGCACTTCCACAGAATTAACATGCGTTATCTGTGATGCCACCAAACATGAAATCAAAAGCTGTAATGTTGAAATTCTTGTTACGGAAATCATGTGTCTGGATACTCTGAAGTATCCAGTAAGATTTTTATCAAACTGAAGAAATTCAGCACTATCAATGACCATTTGGTACAGGGCCCTCTGCTCAGCATGGTGGAGGAAGGAATTTCTGCTCTTGGTCTGGTGCTGTCACATACCAAATGACTGAGGCTGCTCACAGGTACCTGACTGAAATGGAAGAATCCCCCCTAATACTGGGAGCAAGAGAGATTTACAAGTTTGGGGACAATTGGAGAAAAGATGACTTTGCAGTTATGTTATATTATTAATCTTTCCTGCATTCTGCAAAACTGGAGCTATATAAGACCAATGAAGTTGAAAGCAACGTTTTAAAAGTCCTTCCTTTGATTAGTAATGTTTTTGATATTATAAAATAAGACCTGCCTTTTTTTTTTTCTTTTTTTTTGCAAACTAGACAACACATAAATATAGTTGGTTCCTCTCAAGTTTTTGCGAAGTAGTTCCATAATTCAACATTGTTGCAATATAAATGTTGTAGGAATTATTCTTTAAATTGGTTTCACTGGATACTTGCAGCTTTATGGAAACACTGCTGTTAAAGTTTATAAAATGTGTTAATACAACATGAATATGAAACAAAAAATTCCAAGTTCCTCAGCAGTAAGTGAGGAATTGAAACTTTGTGTTCCTACATTACATATTACATCCTATATAGTTTAAAGGATGCATACTAAACATTTATATTCTACATATTTAATGAGAGAAGTGGGAGGCAGGAGTCTTTTTTCCATGTTTACAACACAGCTGAGAAGACTGGAGATGTTTGGTTTATCTGTGCAGCTGTAATGTTTCATTAATACTGTATTCAGTACATGTGTTACCTGTAATGAAATGCTCTCGTGCTGTGAAAGTAGGCATACCCTGCACTACTTACTTTTAATAGTAATATTAATTAGAAGCAAACAAAACCCTACCACTGAGCAACACAGGTCATCTCGGCTTCACATCACCTAAACTGCTTTACCAATACTTCTCAGCATGTAGCTTTTGTCATTGTTAAAGAAGCTGCCATAGAAACCATTCTCACTAACTTTACCCAACTATCTGTAGAATTGGGCTGCTTTAGGTCATGAATGACAAGCCAGATCAAAAACCCTGGGGAAGGGGGGGATGGGAAATGGGGCAGAATAAGTATGTTAAAATTCTCATTCACTTAAAATGTTTTCTAAATCTATATGTGATCAGACTATCCTTTTAGTCATAATGTGAAGCACAGGTAATGATGCATGTTTAACTGGAAGTGCTGCAAGTATAATCAGCTGGTGTAAAATAAGCGTGTATATTCTTCAGAAGTAATGGTGCAGGTAGAACATTGATTGATCTGGACTTTGGACCACTGCTACTGAATTCTTGGCATCTTAATCCTTAACTGAAGGAATGTGAAAAAAATGTGGAAAAAACCCTTAACTTTAAACATTAAAAGAAATTCTGATAGTCAGAATCAATAAAAAGGCAGACACTGTCTTTAGAAGGACAAATATATGTGTTTGCTTGGATAGAAGAAAAAAGGATTAACCACATAAATATTATGTTGTTCCAAAGCTGTGTCTGAAACACTGTTGTTAAAATCCAAAATAGCTCTTTAAGACTCCACAGAACAGCAGTTCTGTTGTTTGCTGCAACATCTTCTTACCCTAATGTTATAAGTAATGGAAATCATCTTTTTTGCTGAAATGTCCTGGTGACTCTTCCAGTGAGATCTGTAGTGAGACATAGCAGAAAAAAAAAAAATCTATACATACTGGACAATGTTTTAATATACCTCCAGATATTAATCCAGCGTAACTGGGAGTTGTCCAATGGGGCACAACCTTTTTAAAAGGGGACAGAGAGAACAGGCTGCTTCTTTACACCAAATTCAGAGATCTTTGGGAAACTACTACACTGGCTCCACTGGCTCCTGTAAGACCTGTCCAGAGAGAGGTGATGCTGCTGCACTTGTTCCCTTGACACTACATGGAATTTTAGACAGATTTGACAGTGCTGCGGGGCTTTGCCATGAAGAAAAGCGATTCACTACTGAGAAGGGAGCTCCAGTAGGAGTTCTTCAAATTCAAACACAACATTTTTTTAGCTGTAGAAAGATTTCTTTATTTTCATACATGCATACTCTCAGAATCTTTTTTTCATTCTGCTTTCACTCTGTACAAGTTATTAACTGCTGACAAGAAATTCACATCTCATAAATAATGCTTAAGAGCCATTGCTATATAAATTGAATGTGTTATGAATGGTGATGGGCCTTTTTGTAGTGTTCTGTGCCTGGAGCAGGAAGAACAGAGGATGTCATTTTCATTAATTTCTAATGAGGTGCCAATTAAAGGCAAGGAAGGAACTCAGAAGGGAAGAGTCACAGAGCTCCCCTGAATCCTGTACCCTGGGGCTGTCAAACGTGCCTGCTGCCAAGCCTCCTCTCAAAGTTCCAGTAAATTACAAACTCATCCAGAGCGCACACAGACAAATTCAGCTTCCCTTTGATCTTCAAAAGAGCAATTTGTAAGACGAGTTCTGAGCCTTTTCACACCGAGAACTGGGAGAAATGATAGGAATTGTTAATTGCTGATCCACTTTGCAAGCTTCAGTGAGAAAGAGAAATTTTGAAGTGAATTCTCATTTTGTGCCCCTCTGACTGGATAACCTTTAAATCAACACTGCTAGAACAAAACCAGCTTCCTATGGAACATTTCTAGATGACAGTTACACTAGGCATGTTTTCCAGACAGCGATGTTCTCTAGTTTTGTGAGAGGGCCTCACAATGGTTTAGTGTCTTACGACAGTTAACTGTTGTATTGAAATAATTTATTTATTTAATATCAGATTTAGTAGGCAGTTATATCATCAAGGAATTACAGGAATCATATTCTTCAAGTTACATTCTATTACAGCATTTCTGCTGAAAGTGTAAGCAGTCTGAAATCAGTCGTCTGTGATCAGAAATTTAAGTGGTCAGTTCAGTGATGTGATAAGCGAGTGGTTACCACAGACTTGCTATAGAACCAGGGGCAGTGAATTTGTGAGTTAAAGTAGCTCTATAACACAGAGTTTTGGAAAAGTATTTTAGAAAAAGACAGGTCGATTATTTGCAAATTACACTATAAATTTATGGGCCTTGTCTCAATTACTTGACTAGATGTATATTGCTACTAAATAAAGTTGTTTACATTTTTAAAAGATACTGAGCTGTAAACTTCTAAGCCATAGAAATTATTTGCACAGAAAGCATAGCTTAGTTCTGTGGCAGAGGTTTAGTATTTCACAGCAAAAAGTAGTTCTGGTATCACTTGTTGAGTAAAGCCAACACACAGAAATCTGTAGTGGTCTTCAATATTGTTGGGATTGCGTAAGTCAGATGAGGATATTCCAGATACTCAGGAAAGGAATTTCACATCTGTCATGTTAGATCCAGTCCTAGGCAGCGATTTAAGAAAAAATAGTACAGTGTGCCAGCTCTTCAGCAGCTTTTGTGTAGAATGGTTTGCTATTTGTAGGCCACATCCTAATGGACACATCTGTAGCTCAGGCTCCATGTATCCAGAACTCTTGGCAATCAGTAGGTGACGAAGATAATGGGCCCTGGAAAGTAATCCTGGCTTTAGCTTCCAGTGCCTTACAGAGGTGTTGCCGATTTGTTTGTGTGCTTCTCAGTTAGGAATCTCAAGTTTTCTGTGTTCTTTGGCTAGAAGAGATGCTTAATAGGATGGGAAGATCTTT